TGTTCTAAGTTTCTTAAGGTTAAATACAAATTTATTGACTTAAAACCTTTTTTCTTTTCAACAACAGGCATTTCAGTGCTATAAATTTCCCCCCTATTTTATTAGTATTCCATAAAGTTTTAGATTCTATATTTTTATTTTTATTCAGTTCATAAAACACTTTTCAATTTTCCTTTTTATATCTGTTTTTTAAACCAATAAATAGGTCAGAAATGCTAATTTAAATTTCCAAACATTTGGGAGATTTTCAAGAGAAATTCCTCTTACTTCCAATTCAATACCATTGTGGAATTAAATTAACATGGTTTACATGAATTTAATTCTTTAAATGTATTAAGACTCATTTTATGGCCCTCCCATTATATGAAGATTTTTAAAGGAATGGGGTTCTGCTTATTTTTATTTCCTGACTTGCTGTTACTTGTTATAGCCATTTTATCTGCCAAAAACATGCAGAAAAAAAGCACACAAATCAACTGGAAAGAAATACATAAATATTAGTTATAATGAGACCCTACGATTTGGTGCCATTGTAATTGTGTACTGTTCAAGTTCCCTATATTCTTAGAACTTTCCCAACATGACTGACACTAATAATCCACTTTATAGTCACCTGATCATTTTAAAAAAATGTATTCTATTTCTATATTCAACTTTTTTACTCAAGCACTGTACACAATCAACAACAAACAGTTCAAAATAAATGAAACAACAGACTCCTCCTTAACGTAAAACCCTAAGGTGAAGTCTGCCTAAGAAAGCTATTCTGACAGTGCCATTTGCTGAGAGAAAAGAAAAGCATGTACATAGGGACCACTGAGATAATTCAGGAGGTGATCATATTGAACCATTCTAAGAGTCTAGTTGATATCTGAAAACAATCTTTCAGAATACTGAGATAACTACTCATCATTGATCTTGGTAAGGCAGCTCCTGACAAATTAGCAGTTCTGTAACTGGGTTACTTTCCAAAAGAGTTGTTATTTGCATTAAGAATTCAGTATACATTTCAGCTTTACTTTATTGAGGCTGGTAACATGTCAACCTTATAAACTTCAGCAGAGTCAGTTCTCCTGAAGGGGACAGTACAGTTTGGGAGATGGCACTGTTGACACGTATAAAAATTAGAATGAAATAATGTTGCATGAATCAATTTTCAATACTGATCACTTTGATTATTGGAGCAAAAGGGGATCAACACTAAAACAATGCCTAATATAAACCTGCTTTCAACTTTGCCTCTCTTTACTGTCCTAAGCAGTTTGTATCCATATCTGAAAAAGATGACTGTCAAATGCCCATCTACTGATTGCATTACTACATACAATCCTATATTTTTGCCTCCATCAAGGCTTCCCTGCCATGTGTGTTTTTCCAATTTTCTCTTATATACGCTTATCCAAAGCAAGGGCATCATTAACATAAGCTTACACTTCAGTATCTACCTCATCATGGCCACTTGGCTGCAGCTTCTTAATCTGATTGTCATTTTCTGGGAAGCAAGTTAATAAATAATAGATTTACCACACACATAGGCTAGCCAAGAAAAATGACATTGGAGTTGTCTTCACACCAACTGTATACTTTGAAACTACGACATACGATAATCATGAAATATTGTCTACAGAGGGATTTGAGCCTGCTACGTCTACTGCGAATGCTTGATCTGTGGGCTCATTCCAGAACTGGGGGAGCCATGTTCTCGGCATAGACAGAGTGAATCATCGGCAACCTGATGTTCTTGCTTCCCTGTCAAGTAAACACACACACACACACACACACACACACACACAGACACACGGGCTCTCATCTAAATAAGCCATACAGTGTTTATAGGGTGGATGGTTCAAAATAAAAGCTTGTATTTCAGTATCTATTGGACCTTTCAATGAGATAATAATGTCCATGTTTTAATGCTCTTTCAGCACACTTCTATAAAGCTAAGTAAACATTACACAAGGTAAAATTCTTTGTGTTCTGTATAATTGACTGACTACTTCAAACTGACACCTTCATTTGTGGCTTTTACATATTTCTTATTCATTCATTCTCAAGAATAGACCAGCACCAAGGACAAAGATATGGCTTTAAAAAATTCCAAATATGAATTTGTTCAAATTATCTGGAAGGAAACACACATAATACCAAATTTTTAAAAATTCCTATGACAATGTTAAAATTGAGAAGAGTATTTTAGAGAATTGTCCTGATAAATTTCTCTAACTTTAGAGTGTGGATGGTATTCTGGTTAATTTCTTCATGTTAACATTACTTTATCAATCTAATCAATTTTGTCCTTTCATGTCATCTTTGCATTACCTAGCACAACTTATTAATTTATTATGTATTTATAAATATATAATTATTATAAATAAAACTGAAATCTGTGTGATTTATCCAGGCAATGGCTCTTTCAAAAATTCTGAATTTAGTATTCAAATTTTTTTGCAATTAGGAATATTTCAGTGATTGGAAATAAAATACTATCCTGGTATGACTGTCAGTGATAAATGCTATAGTTACAGCACATGTTTTGTAAAAGGACTGCCAGTTTTCATTGTATTAACTATAAACCATTTGAACCTATTTTAATAATGTTAAACAAACATCACTTAAGAAGATACATCAAATAATAAAATATATTTTATGTTGTGTAAATATATGTGTGTTGTATAACTTTACCTTGACATTCTAATACATTACTGAAATAACCTGAATATTTGATGATTTGACTATATCTCATTAAAGAAATCACATGGACCTAATTTTTAAGCATTACTCATTCTAGGAATGCTCTACAGAAACAGAGGCATGAGCGCATAAAAACTGGCATATTCTAAGTGTATGGTATCTTGCATTAGCAAAACACTGATAACCATTATTCTGAAAACAAGAAATTGCCAAACAAAATGTGATGTCCTTTATATTTACTGAGGACACTGGCACATTTATAGTTTTTGACATAGAGATCTCAAAACCTATAGGACCTCAGGAGATTGTATAACATATATTACTACCAAAATGTAATGTAGCCAATCTAAAGCTCATTTACAATAAAATTAATTGGTTATGATTGATGAACATTATATATAAAGATAAATGGATGGACAGATACTTGTATTCGCACAGAAAGGTTTTCCCTAATATAGGGCAGATGATTAAACATTTTACTGCTGGAAAACATGGGGAAAAGGTTAAAAATACATCTGTCATAAATCATTTTATATTCTTCTATGTTGTTAAGCTTCCTTAAAATGAAGTGTTTACTCTTGGCAGTAATTTATGGCTGGAGCTCTTTGATCTTAAACTAAAAAAGGGAAAACTAGGGAAGCAGGACTAAAAGTTGAAAGACATTTTAGCTTTCATGTGTCAAGAACTCAAGAGGCAAAAAGCATTATCAGCTGTATATTGACTAAGCCATCGCCAAGGAAATTCTTAAACAGTAAGTTCACTGTTCTGACTTTTGGCTTTATACTTTATGCAACTTCAACAATATTTCCCCAAATTCTTAACCATACAATGCATGTGGCCCTCTATTAATATCTATGAGGAAGGCCAGGCGTGGTGACTTACGCCTGTAATCCCAGCACTTAGGGAGGCTGAGGCAGGTAGATCACGAAGTCAGGAGACTGAGACCATTCTGACTAACATGGTGAAACCCCGCTTCTACTAAAAATACAAAAAAAATTAGCTGAGTGTGGTGGCATGCGCCTATAGTCCCAGCTACTTGGGAGGCTGAGGCAGGAGAATCACTTGAACCCAGGAGGCAGAGGTTGCAGTGAGCCGAGATCAAGCCACTGCACTCCAGCCTGGGTGACAGAGAGAGACTCTGTCTCCAAAAAAAAAATCTATAAGAAAATCTCACATGTGGTGTGGAAATAATCACACTAAATATTATATTATATTTGCCTGTATATTCAATTATATAGCACGTAGAATGGAAAGCATCAAGACATCACATTAATTCCCTTTCTGCAAAACAAGAGATATGTACCAGTTCAACTGATTTTGCAAAGAAAGTATAAAGAATTGAGTACCAAAACACGTGACTACATCACAACAATACTGCAGTCTTTAAGACCTGGGATCATTCAGCATGTTTTTATAACAGAAAAAATATATAAGAGAATTTAAGAATAGGCATAGAAAAAATATGCATGTGTTAAAATAAAAATACTTGAGTAACTACTCATGATGTGATTTGCTAAAAAGGCCTGGGCTAAAGAGAGAACCCACTTGATCTATTATGAGGGCATTGGTCAATAAGCACAGTATCATACACAATCTATTTCACACTTTTTTATGTATTAACCAATATTTTGACTAGTTCGATGAGATTTTTTTTACTTTCTATTGAAGAATAATATACATGTAGAAAAGTGAATACACTAAAATTGTAAAGCTCAATATATTTGCATGATTCAAACAGCAAGTACTCAACACACAGATCAAGAAATAAAAATTACATGAATTCCAGAAACCCATGTGAGAGCCCAGGGCTCTTCACATCTACTATTATCTCAGACATGCCATAAACATAAGAACATTTCATATATAACTTACCTTGTTGCAACAACCAGAAAAAGACCAATTAGAGTCAATCTTTAATAATTAAATTAGAGGCACAATTATAATGCAGTATAACCACAAAGATCTCATGAACCATGGAGTCTCTATTCTGAAACCCCCATAATTAAACAGATGAAGAAAATATGTTAATATTTTGGCACAACTGGATTTAACTACAATAAATTTTGATCCAATATGAAATTGCCAAAAGTTCTCTTAAATTCTACACTTTTCCATAAAAGGAGAAAAGAGGTAAAACAGAAATGATAAGGATGCACTAGTGTAGGTGACATGGTGAAGGGTCTCAAGGAGGAAAAGGACATATGAAAATATCCTCCAATAAGCCTCTGAAAAGATGTACACAAAGACCTAAAGACCTACAAACAGCATACGACATATGAATTTCAAAAGATAATGGTTTAGCTACTCACCCCTATTCTCTGAAGTGGAGGATCTGACTCCAGCCCTTCTATCTCAGCAAAACATGAAAGAAAAAAAAGAAAGCAAACATAATCTTAGAAAATACACCACAGTAAAATAAGCACTAAAATTGGTTCCACTGTCATTATTTCATATCGTCATGCCATATTTCCTTCCTTTAGCACAACACTAATGAGATTTTCAGTACCTATCACAGTTGCTTGACCCTTAATTGAATCTTTTAAAGTTTTTCATTTGTTACTTAAGAATATATATCCCATATATAACTATCTACAATTCTCCGTTCAAATGAACAAAATAAAGCCAATCTTGGGCCACTAAGCTTAAAGTGCACACCGACTCATAAGACAGGATGCGAACGCCCTCTTCAGAGAGGTAGAAAAGGCATGCTCACAGGGGTACTATGTTGTCACTGAAGGATCACCAAATAGAGCCAGGCTCTGAGAGTCTTATTTGTCCTACTGGAGGGCCGCACATCTGGACCTCAGATTGACATCTGGAATGAGTCCCTCAGCATCCTCAGACAAGTATTCTCATCATCGATCCAAACAAGCACCCTCCCGACAAATAAGCATTTACATACCAGGCTTATTTTGTGCATGCTTATCTAGTGCATCATCAGTCAGAACAGCAAATGTACAGTAGACATTTTGTTTCGTAACTGAATAATGGAACTCTCATACACATAGGATGAAAAAACATGTGACTGAATTGTTCTAATAAAATTAGATTAAAATCTGGCTGGGCACTGTGGCACACGCCTATAATCCCAACACTTTGAGAGTCCAAGGCGGGTGGATCTCATGATCAAGAGTTCAAGACCACTGTGGCCAAGATGGTGAAACCCTGTCTCTACTAAAAATACAAAAATTAGCTGGGTATGGTTACCCATGCCTGTAATCCCAACTACTTGGGAGGCTGAGTCAGGAGAATTGCTTGAACCTGGGAGGCTGAGATTGCAGTGAGCCGAGATTGTGACACTGCACTTTAGCCTGGGCAACAGAGCAAAACTCTGTTTCAATTAAAAAAAAAAAATCTATTGACAAACTTTACAAAAACTCTTTAATCAACTAAAAATTTAAGGAGTGAGGTAGTGGAATAATATATGGTATGATTACAGTGCTAACATGTATAGAAACATCTCTGTTATAAATGTGCCAGATCAAGATTAAAAAAAAAAACAACACATTATTGAGAACACTTGAATTTCACTACAAGATTATTTTCACCCAACATGAACAGTGACAAAAGGAAGTACGTCAATGATTCTCCACAATTGCTTAGGCCATTTCAAAAACAGATTTAAACAAAGAGAGAAACAATAATGAGAAATCCTTGAACAAGGTAGGGACACGTATATGGAAATATATGTAGCAAAAGAATAATCTCCTTTAAGCCTCTGAATGAACTCACAGTCCTTGACATTCTGACATCACTGCCCACAGAACACACAAAGAATTTCAAAAGTACCAAAGTAGCTGCTCACCTTTTTTCCCTGAGGTTTCCCTGAAGTTGCTTCAGCTTTTAACCTGCAGCAAAATATTATACAGAAAACAAATCAGATCACAGAATGCCCCAAATTAATAAAAAATAAAGCACAACATTGGTTCCATTATAATTACTTATCATACAGGTACCTCAGCACTCTAGTCCTTGCTACAATTATAAGCGTTGCTTGATCTCACACCTATGTCATTTCATTTATTAATTAGTTTCCTCCTTGAATTGTTTACGCTGAAAATAGCCAATTTTCTTTCTACCAAGCTATCCAAGTGCACAGCAATTGTCTCTTGAATAGGAAATGCTAAAGTTGTAGTCAACCAGTAAAGATTTTATGAAAATACACTGTGATGTGAAAAACGAAAGATACATGAGAGTGGTATTGTGAGATCATCGAGGAGTTCACCAGTTCAGCCTGCTCTGAATGTGTTATTCATCCTGTTGCAACAGAACAAGTGGCCCCTCATTCAGCCACACCTCACATCCCAGATGCTTGGGCTCATCCTTGATCCTGACAAGTTCACCACCAATAACTACACATTCCTCACTCCACACAGATGCTCATAACAATGTGTCTCCCGAATTCAGCTCCTAGTAGACAACAGCACAGGTGGATGTCTGACTTGACTTTAGTGAGACTGGCTCTCACAACAACTCCAGAAGTTTCTCAGGACCCTTTGGTCTACAGAAATACATGAAGTGATACTGCAGTGGGATGGCTGTCAATGCCGATATGTTTACTAAATATGACAGAAATAAAAAGTCAGGAGTTAACTGTGAACTTGGAGTGTATCATTTAAAAGATGATTAAAGTATGCTAGAGTCTATTTGGCAGCAGCATATAATATGACATTCCTTCAATCTGACAGGTGTATATTCCCTGTCCAGGGCAGAAGATCAGCATACAAATGTCACTAATATTGTGACAAAGTAGAAATAATACAACTAAACACAGGAGGAGGAAAGAAAAAGGGGAAAACTGAAAGCACTCATGTTGCATGAGCAATAGGGCACTGCTGAAGAACATCCCCAAACTGATAAATCAGAAGTAAAAGATTAACTAGGAAAACACAGAACTAATGGAATAAGGAGAGGTACAGAAGTAAACACTCCAACATAAATAAAAACTCTCAAGTGGCCAGGAGTGGTGGCTCACACCTGTAACCCCAGGACTTCGGGAGGCCGAGGCGGGTGAATCACGAGGTAAGGAGTTCAAGACCGGCCTGACTAACATGGTGAAACCCCATCTTTGCTAAAAATACAAAAATTAGCTGGGTGTGGTGGTACACACCCGTAATCCCAACTACTTGAGAGGCTGAGGCAGGAGAATTGCTTGAACCCGGGAGGCAGAGGTTGCAATGAACCAAGATTACACTGCTGCACTCCAGCCTGGGCAATAGAGCAAGACTCTGTCTCAAAAAACAAACAAAAACTCTCCTAAGTATGAATAAATAAAGAGGTGAGCAATACACACCCACACACACACACACACGTGAGTGGACTCCACACATCTACTAGAAGAAAAATATTTTTTGCAGGCTCACAAAAGAAAACATAGTATGTTTATGAGAGATACATTTAAAACAAATGGATTCTAAAAGAATGAAAATAAAGGGATGGGCGAAAGAATACAGAAAACAAAGAGATTAGGAGTAGTAATTCTTTTTTTTTCCCCACATCAACTGCATGCAGGAGTAGTGATGCTTTCATCATGTAATGTAGAATTCAAGACACATGATATTTAACCAAGGCAAAGGAGGACACATTTTTTATGCTAAAAGATATACAAATGAAGATCTCACCCTTACGAAGTCTTATGTACCAAATAACATAACCATCTTTATTAATTAAAAACTACATGAGATGTTAAGGAGACAAGACATAGATGATCCCATAACAGAAAACTATAGCTGGACGCGGTGGCTCATGCCTATAATCCCAGCACTTTTGGGACGCCAAGGCAGGCGGATCACAAGGCCAAGAGATCGAGACCAACCTGGCCAACATGGTGAACCCTTACCTCTACTAAAAATACAAAAATTAGCCAGGTGTGGTGATGCACATCTGTAGTCTCAGCTATGTGGGAGGCTGAGGCAGGAAAATCGCTTGAACCCAGGAGGCAGAGATTGCAGTGAGCTGAGATCATGCCACTGCACTCCAGCCTGGCAACAGAGTGAGACTGTGTCTCGAAAACACAAAAAAGAAAAAAACCAGGAAAACTATAATATACCATTATCAGAGAAAGACATATCAAGTGGGCAAAAACAGCAACATAAAAATAGGGTACATTTTATGGCTACATATTAAAGTTGACAGATTATAGAAGATATGTATTATTCTCAAGTGCCCATGGGATAGTCACCAAAAACTGATCATATATTAGGTTGGAAAGAAAAATTAGTAACTCAAAGAAATACTAAAAACTGCACTCTCTGATCACAATGCAAAAAATAGACTTTACTGGCCAGGCATGGTGGCTCACACCTGTAATCCCAGCACTTTGGGAGGCCAAGGAGGGCAGATTCCAAGGTCAGGAGATCGAGACCATCCTGGCCAACACGGTGAAACCCCGTCTTTACTAAAAATACAAAAATTAGCTGGGCATGGTGGCATGCACCTGCAGTTCCAACTACTTGGGAGGCTGAAGCAGGAGAATTGCTTGAACCTGGGAGATGGAGGTTGCAGTGAGCCGAGAGAGCATCACTGCACTCCAGCCTAGTGACAGAGCAAGACTGTCTCCAAAAAAA